AGAAAAAAAAGTGATTTGAAGCACCCAAATCCCTTCTGTAAATCTATAAACGGGAGTAACCCATATTTTTGCAAATGATATCCTCGTGTCTGGAAGATGAATAAAGTCTCAGTTTGCCGGCCTGATTATTTGTTTACTGATTATTTGTCTACAACCACGGTGGCTGATTGCATTTCATTCCTCATTCTGGACCAGACATAATGCATTTTTAATGTGTTTTCTGCTGTGAGATGTCTGTGTTTGACCGAGGCGCTCTCACGACGTCACTCCGATGGCACTAGAGTTCAGCTTCATGCTTTTAAGATTGTATTTTTGTTGTTGTGAATTGCATTAGCAGTACATCCAATATTTTATACAGCATGTTTCCTTTTAAGATCTGAGTTAGTCTGTTGGTTTAAGGCTTTTTGGGGCTTGAGTGTTAAACCAGCTGTGCACTGCAATACAATGACGGTAAGATTTTAAGATGCGCAACAGCAGCTGCAGATCTGAAATTCATTTTACAAATCAAGTCTAGTTTCAAAATATCAACAATGGGCTGCAAGGGGAATTGTGGGCTTTGCAATTAAAGTGTGTCCAAACTGTTAACTGGAACTGTATATGTCTGTATGAGGTAAAATCAGAATCTTCTGGTTCTATTTCCTTTGCTTATTTGTCGAGTTTTTTGAAGGAACAATTTGCTTTGGTAAAATTCCTTTGGCATTAACATGGTGGTCAATTTAACAAGAATAACCTGAGTGTGAATCCGACGTGTGAAGTGCTCTGCGTTCTCCCAAAAATATTACTTTCTTCTTTTTTCTTTACCTCTGGGCCCACATCTAATCTACAGCTCCGTTTTGAAGTGTCACAACATGTTTGTGAATGGAGCGGCTGACTCACCAGCTGCAGACTGAAATTGACCATTTCAAGGCTCAAAGAAAAGTTGGATGGCCGGGGAAGGAAACATATTTGTTTAACAGTTGACCTTTTCTATTTACCACACTGGTGCTTAACCTGGGAAACATGTACCTGGTCGGAGACTGACGCACAAATTACCCAAAGGTCATGTTATTTAACTCGTCAGTGGAGACCGTGCACGCTGGTAGCATCCCTGAAAGGGAGAAACAGAGACCTGGTTTTCCTGCGAACAGACCCTGTTTTTTTTTTGAGCATTTAGTTTATCTCCATGTCGTCAAAAAAACAATGTATGGTACAAGCCACAGGATTAAAATTAATTGCGAATCCACACTGTTCTCTGGCAGCACATTGTTTACTTGCTTGTCGGGTGCATATGTGTGCGCCAATTCTTCACTGTTGAACGGTGCCAATTTGTGTGTGTGTTTGTGTGTGTGTGTGCGTGCGTGTGTGTGCCTTTGCACCGCGTCAGGGGGAATATCCCGTTGGGGTTATGGAGGGTGCAGTGTGGGGCGATGAATGGTATGCTTTTGTGCTCATTTTCTCAACTGTCTGCAAACCAGTGAAGGAGAGAATGGCGAGAGAAAAGGGGGATGAGGGGGACATACCCGAATAAAGAGGAAGAAGAGTTACAATGGGGGGGGGGGGGGGGCGTAGTGTGGGGAGCACAGGTGAGACAACAGGGTGGAGGAGGTGAGGAAGAGGAAGGGACGTGTGAGAAAGGAAAGTAGAGAGCGAGCACTTGTGCTTTCAGGGACACTGCACCGTTGTCTCTTCAGCCAACAAAAGAGACAAAGCCGTTGGCTATAAAGTAGGAAATCGTTGCCATTCATGTCAGTAGAACGAGGAAAAAACAAGTGTTCCCGGTGAAAAAGTAACCGGAGGAGAAGGTGCTCCGGCTGGTAGTTTTGATCACTCAGAAGAACGTGGAACTGACCTCGCGGCCTCAACCTTCACACTCGATGGGGTTTTGGAAATGAGCCAATCATATTGACAGATGCTGATGAGTTCAGGTGGAGCTGTCGGTCCGGACACTTTAATATCGCATGAGGAGAACCATTCAACTGTACTACTTTTCTAATAAAAAATAAAAAAGAATGTATAATGCATTTTAAATGGCACAGCATTATAATAGCTGGTGGGAGCATTAGAAGGTCAACTGCGATGCAAAGTCTTGATATGTGATATTTGAAAGACCTTTAAAGCACTAAAGAAAACATTAAAAAACCATCACATGGGGTGGAAAACACCCGGGACCTTTCTCTCCTAAAAGTGAGATGGTTCAATCTGACGGGCAGGGCTGGGTTTTCACTCTTTGTACTTTTATGATTTACCTGTTTGAAATGGGTCTGTAAAGCTTAACATCAAAAAATATCATAAAAGGAAAGATGCAATCTGAAGCTTAGCTTAATATGATTGTGAACAGAAGGTTCTGGGTTTTGGACTGTTGATGGACAAGACTGCAGAGGAAGTAAATTTGGCTTTAAAAGTCTATTCAACGAAGCAAACAATTAACCATGAAAGGCAGAGAATTGATGAGCAGATTAAGCAGTAAATCGAATATGCACTAATTTATATACAGCTTAAGAATGTGACCATTTGATGCCAGTAAAGCTATCTACTGTTACATTTTAGATCTTGTTTACTCCTTTAAAGAGAGAGATCCTTATTTGAAGTAGAATCATTTTAGAACATATATCCAGGAAGTTTGATTTAGGAGTGGAATGGATTAAACAATACGTTTATCAGTAGACAAACCAAACTAATTATCTGTCCAAATTATGATGATTTCTATGTCATTTGGTAAGAAATGTCTAAATAAGAAGGTTTGCCTTTTATATAAAAGTATGTTTCGGGGGGGATTTGGGAATTTGGGGCGGTAGATTTTCTTTTTTTTCTGACATCAAACGGATTAAGATGTCATCAATTAATTAAAGCATTATAATATATTAAAAGTTAATCAAATTAATATTTAATTATGACTCTTTTTGCTTTAGTTTTGTCTCAGGCATTAATAAATCATTCACTTGTAGAAGTATACGGTCTTGAAAAAGGTATTGTTGTGGCATCGATAGTGAAACAAAAATTTCCTTTCACAGAATATTGAAACATTTAAACTTGAATCAGCCCCAGCGGCACGATGGACCATTAGAATTCTACAATGTGTTTTACGTTTGGCTGCATTTTAGTGACAAGGAATCCTAAGAGGCAAAAAGGCCTTTGCATCTGCTGTCAATGATACAAAATCATCTGCTTCCTTCTGCTTTGACTCTGTTCAGCATTTCAAGGGTCTCTTCACAGCCATAATCATTATTTAGCCGTGCAGTCGAATGTGCTGCCTACCATCACGCCACAAAATAGCAATCACACCTCTAAAATTCATCCATTTGTTCCAGATGTGTATTTTTTTTCTCCAGTGAGCCCACGCACTTGTTACACATTCAGAGTGTCATCTCCCCCTCAAAACACTTGAAATTAAGCCATTTAACAACGATTCAGTGTTTCCCCCCCCACCGTAGAACAAAAAACTAAACAGGCTTCTATTGGCCCACACAAATACCTTATTGCTGCTTCCATTTGGCTGTCGTGTCCTCTCTAACTGATTCCGAATGACAATCGGCCTGGAATAACTAACCCCAGCGTGGACGGATAAACCCTTTCCTCTCTTCCCACACCGGGGCCCTCGGAGGCCATCGCAGCGGGGTATTTTTTTCGATGATGAAACGGCGGCGAGCGGTGGAGGGCTGAGGGAGTGGGCGATCAGGACACAAACTGTTATTCTCCACACACTCAGCAGGATGAGATGCAGAGCTGGCAGAGCTACAGCATCCATACCTCGCGCACAGCCAACGCAGCGTGCATCCTCAGTTTGCTTTCTAAGTCAAACACACACACTCCATCTTTCTCTGAATGCATCTGGCTAACAGCATATGAAAGAAGTAAATACACTGAGCCGACTGTATGCGAGCAAACTAATTAGCACGTCAACAAGAAGCAAACGTCCTTTAGGGGCTGCACTCACTCGACTTACAGTTGCTCTTAAACAGCGGTTAAAGGCAACCGTTGAACGCTGCAAAACAATAGTCGAATAACGGCGATGAAGCCAGGTGATGATGTGAGGAGGCAGACATCATTAGCCTCCATCGCCACACTTCATCAAAGGAGAGGGAGTGTTGGCCGCGCTGTCGCCGCAATGAGCTGGAAGCATGAACAAAAGCAGATGGCTTTATGAGTCAGACAATAAGGCGCTTGTGATTATATATATATATATATATATATATTTATATATATCATTCATTCATTTCAATTTAAGCAGTCAAGCCATTTTTCTCCGTGCTGTACATCAATGGAAATCCATTATCAAGGCGGGTTGAAGGGTCGCCATCACACCCAAATCAGCTGGATTTCCCTGAGACTTTTTTGGTGCTCAGGATAACTCATCATTACCGAGCAAAAGTACAGTAGGGCTGCGACTGATAATGGGCTGATGACAACGCGTATAGTGTTGCTATTCTGTTCTACGTCCTCGGATCCATAAAGCACTTTGTTAATTGCCCCATTTAACGAGAGTCATCTTATTGGAGTCAGTTATTCTGTGGTTAATGATCTCAGTTTGCTTCTTGTTATAGCATTTGTAACTCCCTTATATTGGTAGTTCGACCCTTTGTTTCTTATATAACTACATTTATAGTTTACCAGCGTTTGGTCTGTTTGTAACCCAACACATCGCAACGAAACAGAATCACCCACAGACATTTCTCACTGAAAAAAGAAAAGAAAAACAAAGTTTCAAGCTAGAGATTGATAATAAAGATGAGAATCAGATTTCCAACGACATCGACTTGGACACCGGCCGTCCATCATCTGCATCTCTGTGTGCAGAAGAAGTGTGATCTATCCCGGGGAACTGGGAGAAACTCTCCCGCTCCGAGCTCTGTTTACTCCCCCATCGGAGAGCTCGCAGCAGGACGGCTGTCTATGGAGCAATTAGAGCCTCCTTTCTTTATCCAGCGGCCCCCGGTGCTTTAACCACGGCGAACAACTGGACCTCCTCCACCTCCTCCTCCACCACCTCCACCGCGCCAGACAGCAAGTGCAACAGTACTCACCCCCAGCTTCTTACTCCGTATCCTCACGTAGCCCTGTTTGACTATGTCGTTGAAGTTGGAAGCCATGGTGAGGAGGAGGGGGGGGGGGGGGTAGTTTCCTGCTCGAGGTTTTTAAAAATATATATAACAATAAATAAAAAAACAAAAACAAAGTAGCCTTCTTTTTTTCCGGTCAGGGAAAGCGATAACGTGTTGAGTTGAGGTTCGGTCGGTGAGACATCCGGCGGCAGCGGAGCGGGCGGTGGGAAAACTGCTGCGGCGTCAGCGCTCACGCTGCCCGGCTTCAGCGGCGCGATCCATCCGCTCTGGAGGAGGGAGATACCGTCCGTCAGCTGATTCACTTGAGAGGAGAGAGGAGGAGGAGGAGGAGGAGAGGAGGAGAGGAAACCCGGGGAGAGGCGCGCCTTCTCGGAACACACCATCCTCGAAACAGCGAGGGGGTGGGGTGTGTGTGTGTGGGGGGGGGCAACGGCGTGCAGGGAGAGGGAGGGAAGGAGTGGGCGTATGTTCAATTTAAAAATAAAAAAAAGAAGTAACTTGTTGCTCTGAAATGTATTGATTTATTGAACTCTTTATTATATGTGCTGATTCAAATGACCATGAGTCCAACATCGGCCACTATGAGCCAACTGTCTGGTATTGTTTTCTGTATTTATCTGTTTATTTGTTTGGTAGGGAAACAGTAAATAAAATAACATCAAATGCAAAACGTAAACACGCTGGAGTTTTAGTAAGAATGTTCATTTTTCACGCATTGCCCCTATGATGGGAACAAAAAGGGAAGCAAGTGGTACAAATACACCGTACTTAAGTAGTTCTTCAAGTTAAAAGATCCAGCTGTGGTTTTCCTATTATCCTTTTTTCAGATGGTCTTAAATTGGATCATGTAGGGCTCTTTATTATAATAACATAATATAATAAGTGGACTAAACCGTGGAGGGTAAAGTGGACACATAGACCCTGCAGTCACCCATACAACAGGATATGTTGTGCTTAATTCTGCCAGATGTGGCTATCAATCAACGTTGATGTGCTCCGCTCGGTCATTTGCAACACTCAACATCGGTTGTAGACTTCTTTTTTAGTAAGTTTCCCAATGTGACTTTTGTGATAAATTCTGCCTCCTATACGAAATGTTCAAAGACAAAACACAGTCTAGTGTTTGGACTAAATTGCAGAACAGTTTCTTACATTTCCTTTTGATCATTATTACCCGTCTGAATATGAATAGCATTTCCATATTATCACCAGACAGAGCAGTAATAAAGAAATACAATTGCCTGCATGGGAGCACCGTGTTTCATCATTGTGAGGTGGCCTTGACTTGATGTTGTTTGATTTCTTGAATAATAAAACCGGCTCGTCCGGCAAAGGATCAAATGGATTGTAAAGCGAAGCAGGCTGCACAAAGCCTTCAACCACTGCCTGCGGCTTGTATATATGTTGATACAATGCTGCAGATTGGCAATCAAAAAGATCTGAAAATGGGGGCACAGGAACACATTTTGATCCCTGCCAAAGCTGTAATCCTGATCGGGATGCAGAGAGAGGCGTAACTCCGGATGTGCAATCGCAGAGAGTGAAATCCTGGGTAAAGGGAGCAGATGGCTCAGGTATATCGATACAAGGGTCTGCCATTACTTATGCTGATTAAAATGTGGAAAGAGATGGCTTATGTAAAACAGTTATATAAACAACTTCAGCAATACCTCCTCGCAGATTTCCTTTATTTCCCCCTCTTCAATCTAACAAAAGGACAGCGGCGTGAATTAATGAGACACTATCAGAAAACAGATAAATGAGGACACAGATATTCTATCTCACCTAGCTCTTCACAATTACCCCGTTGCTCATACTGATGTACTATTTGTTGCACTGAGAGAAAATGTAATCCGCTGTGAAACACTGGGGGCTTTTGTTGAGTTGCTGGGTAGACGGCTGCCACGCCGTCGAGTGCTTCCTGTCAAAGTGTCGGCTTTGGAACACAGAGGTAAAACGCCACGGCTGTGTTGTCTGTCCTGACTGTTCATCACATCCAGCGAGCTGCCGCCCCTCCGACAAAGCAGCTTGACTTTGATAGTCTTTGCGTCTCCATGGCAGTGTCCTCAAATTTCAGACTTGTCAAACTTGTTTTGTCTTCGTAATCCTCTTTGTTCAACCCGAAGCCGCCTCGTCGTCCTCCCTCTACGAAAACCGACGCTGACGGCAACAGCGGCTTTTGATTGCACTAAATATTGAGCTCCGATGTCATTACAGAGAGATGTCCTAGTTTTTTTGGGGGGGGAAGTAATTGCCCGCCGCCTTTCGGAACCGACAACCAGTACGGTCCCCCAGTCGGTGGCAGGTAGAGGGGCACTAACCAACATATGGCCCCGACGGGGGTCAAACACAGGGGAGGGGGTGCGTGACCTCCATCAAGGTCAAGAGCAAAGCAGCAGATATCTGCTGAGCAGCAGGAAACAACTCTTGGTCCGATATGGGCAATTTATCAGGTATTGACCTCATGCTCATCACCATTTTTCACAGACGTTCCGCATCGCATATCCAAGTCCCACCACGTCGATGATGATTAATACCGGGAAAACCGTGCTGCTCATGGAAAAAAGTACATCATCCATTAAAGCACTTAAGCGTTCAAAGCAGGAACCTCTGAATAATTGACTTAGTTACAGCGGAGCGAAGCGAACTTTTGATGGTTTTGATGGTCCGGTGAAATACTCAAATTCCCTTTTTGCATTAGATGCTTTGTTTGTCTCATTGCTCCTTGGCAAACATTTACAAGTACGAGCGGCTAAATAATTAACACATTCACAAGAAGATAAGCAGGGGTGAATCTTGGAAGCGGGGGAGAGCCAGAGAGAGAAATGCTTCCACTCTTCGTTGTTTGCCAGGTAAGCATTTTTACATGTGGGCGGAGGAGTGAAAATAGAGATCACACAGGCAGAGTTATGGTAATGATCCGCTTCGGGTTCTTGTGCTCAACCTTTTTACAGCAACCCGTATCAGCCTGATATGTTAATAGGCACAATGGGATTTGGGTTTGATTAAATGTCAATGCCTGAAGGGAAAGTGTGGAAAGAGAGAGAGAGAGAGAGAGAGAGAAAAAAAAACTAATTTCTCAGAATAAGAGATGTGGGCTGCTCGGAGCTTTGCCGTCCAAGGAATACATTGGTTAGTCACACGATATCGGACAGCTAAGGTTGTGTATATTCCCAGAGGATCGAGCCCTGGCATGTTTGCGATTCACTCCACAACAGCTGAGAGTAAAAGTAGTCGGAGGGCCGATCTGTCCTTCTCCAGAAGGTGAGTCGACCTTTCACGACTGTCCATAATTGTGAAAAAGAACACCACGGGTAAACTGTGACGCCAACGATCCGTGGTAATGGGGGAGGACGAATGAAAGTGAGTGAGGGGAATCACGAAGAATGATGCAGATGGGACAAATGTGAAATTAGCAAGAGGATGGAAAAGGAGTGGCCTGTTGTCGGGGAAAGGCTGCGTACCTCTTGCCGGTTTGACCGAGTCTTTGTGTCCTAAATTGGGGTCCATCTTGTGCGACACTTCCCTGGATCTCTGGAGAGGCAGCTGTTGCTGTGGCGTTTCTCATAGAAAACAACCGGCGGGGCGGCTGAATCCATCACACTCGGCTCCTCTTGGAAGTCAGGAGGAGTAAGATGGGTGCCTCCCCCCACTGCCACAAGAGCGATGAGACACAGCTCTTCCTTCCGTGCCACGCGGGTAATTGGGAAACCAGAATTCATAGTGTGGAGGGAAGGAGGGTCTGGCCTTGGATCACTGACCAGGTCCTTCATCTCATTCATCCTAATCTTCTCTCATAGTCAGAAACACTTGATGAATTAAAGCCCCAGGTCTTTTGGATTATTTTTTATCTCTCGGAGTTATTAATCAGACTGCATTTTATCTTTTTAATTCAATTTCACTTGATGAAACCCTGATTAAGTCGACGCATTATTATTTAAAAAAAAGACTCAAATGACGTCCGTGCTTCTTATAAACCCAATAATTAAAAACGTATGTTCCTTGATGATTTTTCCTTTCTCCTGTGGCCTTCACAGTGGGGCTCCACTACAGAAGAGCTTCCATGAAGCCGGTACGGATTCATGCAGAAGGACATCACAGCAAGGCGAATGCTACATTTCGAGAGGGTGTTATCCAGGGCCTGGATCTCACAGTGCCAACCCAAACCTCGAGCTCTCTGAAGACTGGGTAATTATACATTAATCAACACATGTGGTGCCGTGTCTCTGCCCACAGCCCCCCATCACTCCCCCCCCCCCCCCCCCCCCCGCGCCAATAAGGGGAGTTGAGACAGACAAGCGTGACTAATGTGTAATGTAATGTGCCCTGTAGAGGGCAATATTGTCTGCTGTGGAAGGGGGAATACTTTGAACGGGCTCATGAATGTCTTCATGTTTCTACTCGATGACAGTGAGATCTCTGTAATCTTCAGTAATCTAACAAGGTGGATGGAGGAGCAACATATGCGTTATATAATATAAGTTCAGTCTACAGCGTGTGTTGGGGATTTAACGCACGTTGTGTTATCCTAAATGGAAACCTTTTTACTTGCTCAGTTAAAGGAGATGTCTTCATCACCGGGCATCTCATTTAATGTGTCAACAAATGTTCAGCTGCAGCTTCATGGATTTCTTTGCAAGAGGTGCCCGTCCTGTCCCCCGACTACGTGTAAAAACAGTTTTGAACAAACATGATCAGAAAAGCAGAGCTTCAAATTTGGCTAAATCTGCTCCCCGAGAGCTGCAGGTTATTGGCTTCCTTATTTAATCTGACAGATTTAATATAAAACAGGTGATGCCTGTGCTTCTCTCAATGGCCGTGGCTTGTGGGCCCTTCTTCGGGATTGGCAGAAGCACATGACTCCGGTGCTCACCGTCCAGGTCGGGACAAAGCTACCCTTTTACCTCCAGGGCCCGCTTCACAACGGCCCGTGTGTGAGCATGGAAAAAGAGTGGAAATCAAACCTCCTCTGTAAATACACGAAAGGTCAGAGATGACGTCAGAGTCCGGGGACGGCCTCCTTCGTGATTTTGCGGCCTGTTGCCGACGCCTGATCCGTTGCAGCTCTTGTTGCACTCTTTGCTCCCTGACCATGATCCCAACATTAATACGACCAAACCCTTCTGCTATGATTGTGTTCGGCGTGTGTCATCCGCTGGTCATAAGTCTGGTGACTGAACGATGTTGTGCAGACAGCTACGAAAGTCAAATATCTTTATTGCAAAAACTTACTTTTAAACTAATTTTGATGTAGCTTACTGCGAGCTTTTGTTTTTCTATGGTGTGCTCTTGGCCGAGGACTCATCCCGCTTTATTGTTCTTGTATTATGACTGACTGCAAAGAAGTGTGCACATCTAGCACGCATGGCCTTATTGTTTGGCCATGATCCTCAACTTGACTGTCTGTAGCTTTTTCCAGAGTGTTCCTTGATGTCTTGCCAGGCCTCTTCGTCTCTGTTTCTGTTTCCTCAACATTTATTTTTGCAAACAAGTGTTTGTTTTACTCGCAAAGCGTCGCAAACGTGTCTCTGATAGGCAGGGCTCTTTGAAACACAGTCCCTTTCCTCTGTTATTCATGGCTTTGTGTGGGAAGATTGATGCCACATTCCTGAGCTAGTTTTGTTTTTAATATTATCATGAATTCAATCACATCTGGGGGATAAACAGCGGCTACGCAGCTAACCAGCAGAAACGTGTTCTGCTTAAGGAAGACTGCTCTTAACATTGATGAATTATCTGATGGCTAACTGGTGGACTTTAAATGTGGTCCAAGCACTTGCATGCCTTCAAAGAATAGGTATGAGTGTATTTTTTGTCCAGATGATGTGGATGGGTCATTATTTATCCTTGGGGGACAGATCTAACAGCAGCGCCGTCTGGGAGGCAGCCAGCCCCTCCTGGAGAGGTTCTGTAAGCACAACTTTCCCCTTTCCACAGTTCCTGTTTTTACATGTGGCTCACATCTGTATCCAGAGCATACAACTGCTTCACTGACACCAATTTATAGAGGAACAAATATGAGTGTTAGTGTCTTATGTTGTGTGTCAAATTGTTGACGATAAATCATCTGATGGACAGCCCCCCCCCCCCCCCACCCATTGGTAATAAAGTGTTTGAAATATGGCTGTTGTCCTGTCTGACAAAACTAAGATGAATGAATATGTTTATTATTGTATGCATACACTTATGTCTGTGTAGATGACAGCACGGTGGCTTAAATGTCAATATGTAGATGGACATTACTGTGCGTTGCATTCTATGTCCAGAGTTGCGTTACCAGATGTTACCTGTGACCAAACTAATTTTGCAGGACCGGGCGCTCACATGTTTTCTAATCTAATTCATCTAATCAAACGAAGGAGCTTTTTCTCTTAGAAAGCCCATTTATTCATGAAAAGTGGGGGTTTTATGATCCGTCGAAGTCTCTTGCAATTAACCTGGAACATCAAGTCTGAGTTGCTGACATCGTGCAGCTGCTCTCCAATAGCATTGTATTGTTCCAGGATTTAATGTGCAGCACTAAAGCTCACCCTGCAGATTATACCAACATATGATAATCACTATTATTGATTATTCTAGTGATTATCAAGTATCAGCGTAAACATCTGGCATTAGAAGTCACCATCTGAATGGTCTTCAGCACCAATTCGACTGCATGTTAAAAGATTTTTTATTTCATGTCAAGTAGATGGGTGGGTTTGTCACAGCAGAGTCCGTTGGTAATGAATGTTTATTATTAATCAACTGTCTCAAGATTTTTCAGGGGTCTTGTTTTAAGAGCACAGAGGCCTAAAATAACTCAATAATTATGAGTCACCTTGCCACTCAGGAAAGGCTTATTTTTTTCTCCACCAAAGTACCCACTCCATCTTTGCAAAAACACATTTATAGAGTGGCTATGTACATGTAATATTTTTGGATCATAAGGGTAAAAAAACCCACTCCATGTCAGATTTTATGTTTTGTTCATCTGCCAAAGTAAAGGTTTGACAAGAAGGAACACAGTCATTACCACTGGCAACCATAACTTTTCACCCTGGAGCCGACGGCTTCCCTGACTGCGTCGCTGCTATCGGATTCCCATCCAACCGTAGTGGACAGGCGGCTCCGACAGAGCACATAAACAAACAGGTGACCGAGTTAAAAAATACAATTAGACCCAAATATAAAGCACATGCGCACAGACACACACAAACATACATACACATGTCTACAGCACAAACAAATTCAAAAAACACATTCAAACTGTCTGCCTCGCCTCTCTCGCTCCCTCTCCTCAGGTGTATATATGGGCTCATTGACACCGTCTGCCAGTCTGCTGCCATGCAGCGCCACATTTAGCCCCGCAAGAAGTGCCAGACTGCAGCCGAGCAGCGCACAGTGAGGAGGTTATTAATGGCCTTCCTTATTTTAAACGACAGTGTGCAAACACTGGTGGCACCATGCAGACCTTGCGAGCTGCAAGCGCGTCTTTCATCCCATCTGTCTTCACCGTACTCCTTGGCCCTAATGGGCCGGCGGCTGTCGCTGTGTCAGTTGTTTTTTTTTACTGACACACCCTTGTCTGTCCGGCGGGTCGCACATGAAGGAACGCAACGATTCCCCACTATAAATTGATGGGTTGTTCCTCTTGGTTAAATACTGGAGATTTATGGCGCATTATTTTTAAACTAAAAGTTGTCCAACTTGTATGTTGCATTGTTATTTTGAACTTGAAAGTTAGGAAAAGATCCCATTGAGAGAATCAAAACATTCCGCTGCTTTCTCAACGCTTCACGTTATCTCCCCGCCGCCCTTTTCCTATTTCCCCCCTCCTTCACTACCCTCCTTATCCTCTATACCTTTCATTCTTCACAGCCCCTACCACCTATCACCACACCCTTCTGTGAGTTCTGACATCTGTCTGATGTATGCCTCTCTTTTCTCTCACAGGACCTTGGCTCACATGGGCAGCCTATCAATCACCGCGCAGCCCTTTCTCCTGCACAGCCCGGCCAATCACCGGTGATTGTGTTTGAAACAAAATGCAACGTGCCCGAGCGTAAATGAGTTGAACGCTTGCACACATATTTGAACACGACGTTGTTTCGGTGCTTTTGGTCGACTGTATTGTCCGCCTGACGTCGTACTGGATGCCAACCTCGTGCAGAGACGCGTGCACAGTTACCCCCCCTTCCCATGGTTCTAGCCCAGGAAGTTGATTTCCACATGTTGTGAGGGTCAAAGTGAATGTAGCATGTACTCCACCACATGCGCAAATAAACCTGCCAATGAAGATAGATGTGTGAGAGTAAGGGAGCCCACACGTACACCCATAAAAGTCATTCAAAATTGATTTAGGATGATTGGATTCATATTGTGTCACTGACCCGGTGGCATCATGTAAGATTAAGTAGCACTTGTCTGCGCAATAACAAAGACTGGCAGTCCGATGTTACAGCCAGTTGGCGCCCTCCAGACATCATAACAAGGCCATGGTGGAACCCGTTATGCATCGGTCATCTCGCTCCATTGCCGCTCAAAAGCAAATGAGGAGTGACGACTCAGCTCCCTGGCGACGGAGCCGAAGAGGGAAAGCGGGGACATTTAAAATAGAACACTTCCGCTCTCCAAGGTTCGGATGAAGAAAAGAAACGGTATGAATATCAGGTGGGACGGGGGGGGGGGGGTGGCCACATCCTGTGAGACTCTGACATCGGCAATGGGGGCTTCTCCCTCAAAGGAAAGCAATGTATCTGGATGTCCGGGGGATTGGGTTCAGTTGTCATCCAACCACCAAAATCCACCACTTCAGTGACTCCCTGCGGTACTTTGATCTTAGGCTCTGAAAGCGTATCCAGTGGGTAAGAGCAGATGTGAAATGACTCATTGCTGATGAGGTTTTAGAGCAGATTGTCAGCTTCAATGTGCGGGCATCATGACCCATATCCTGTTTTTTTTTTCTGTTGAAGACTATTAAGAGAGCAATTTCATCAAAGTCTGCAACTTCAAAATACTCATCCCAGATTTCTCTTGGACTATATTTGAGGTAAAATGAGTCAGTGTAGTGTTCGAGGTTAAGCAAACATTAGATGCATCATGGTATGAATGAATAAGGCATGCCTCCACTACAACCACTGCCAGCAGGAAATCTAATATTACCATATGTTTAAATGAGACATTTGTCAATTTCTAAGCTAACAAAGTTAGTATTTCATTTCAAGTAATTGCATTTTTTGTGTCGGTGGCTCAGGTTTCCAACACTTAAATTATATAATAAGGTGCCTGAGATGTTTATTTTTAAAAGGTAAAGATGCCATTTCTAAGTGTATATAGTCAGACAATTCAAGGTGAATTTGAGTGATATAAAGCAGTGGTGGTTTCAATATTTTATTGCAAAATGGACTTTCCCTAACAACCTGAGGTAGGAAAATATGTGGTACATACATTAACAAAAAGACAACGAATTGACCATTATATTGATTGTAGCTTGAGAAAGCGCGGACCTGGCAAGAAATACCAGGAAATACATCTGATGCTTCTACATACTGTATGAAATACAACTGTTGGTGTTGTCTCAAACGGAGATGGATGGAGATGAACTTAACATATGTACAGGGGGACAACATCCAGTATAATGAGATGCACGATGAAGTCTAGCAGATGCTGCAGAGGTTTTGTTTTCAAAAATGATGACTATGGGGATGAGTTTACTTCCCGACCTGCGGGGAGTTTTAACTAAACCACATCAGCTGGAAAAATAACCTAAGAAACAAAGCCCATCACAATGACAATCATAACCGCAATCCAAAAAATAAAAAACATATAGCAGCATCCTGTATAAGTCATATTGATAAAGAGCATAATCATATAAAAATAAATGCATAACAATTTATCTCCCAATCATTTAAAAAGTAAAAAATAGGACAAGAAACCTCGCCGTAGCACTAGTAAAAATGTGCCAGACTTAATACAATGAAATGGATTCATTCTTAGGTGCCATTATAATGTCATATCATAGGACTTCTAGAATCACATATCATACACAGGTAGTTGTAAAGAGACAAAACCACTAATTCTGATTCGACATACAAACATTTACAACATTTTTAGCGATATTTACTAAATGTTCCCATATAAATGTCCTGCTGAAGATGACAAATTTCCCACTCAGTGCGAGTGAATACTGACAGTTTCTCATTGTGAATGTGTCAAGTTTTTGTTGCTATGTGTACGCCGCCATGGAGACGACCTCTAACCCCTAGAATGTAGCGCAGCCAGAAACGTTTCAGTCATTCGGTTTGACAACGGGGCTCGATTGCCGCCTATTCAACAGCCCGAGTATGCTTTCAGTTTTGGCGAAGCCGCCGTCCGGGGGCACTCAAATCACGGCGAACACCCGGAACGCCTTTCCTCCGGGAGGGTTTTGAAGGCTGCAGGGGGGGGGGGGGAAAGGCAAAAAGAGAGGGAGAGTCAAGTCTGGGCGCGGCGCCTGTCAGATACGCTACGTGTCCCAGCCTTTTGCAGTGAGACCCGGATGACACGCACACACAAACAAATAGAATCCAGGTTCTTTACGGGGAGACGTCCACCATCCGAGCTGTCTGGCGCTTTGATGGCAGGTAGGACGCATGCAGAGAGAGGTTGCGGCTCACGGAGCAAACGGATAAGCCTACCATTCTTAACAAAAACACGGGGAAACCTTCATGTGTGAATCCAACAAAGGCAGACGTGTTGTGACGTTGAAGGAGACAGATAAATGATGGGCAGATACTAACAGACGTCAGGCATCTCAGTTAAGTGACAAAGAATAATGGAGGGAAGAGAGGGGGGAGGCTATAGAATAAATGAGACCGAGTGTGTGTTTGTCCTCTACTCAGGTCATGTTAACAATAGTCATTCTGCAGACCATAAAACAGCCCAAAGGTGGTGCAATTTTATAGTGCAAAAAACTGGAATGCACTGCGCAGTATGTGGGTCACTCCTAAGCCTTATGCAGAGGCCGTCATGAACCTGTAACCGTAACGCTGTCGTAAAGTAGTACAGCTTGATTTAACACACAAACGCTCTAGTTTTTTTCTTTTTTTTAATGTTCATTTGCAAACGCAAGCTCCCTTCTTTGCGATTCCCTTTTAGCATCAGAGGACCCATTATGTGGGAGGATGGTGACAAACGTCTGTCATTATTATTGTGAAACTACTAATAGCTGCCAAAAGATTCATCAAAACAGTACGTCCTTCAGCATCAACGCGTTATTAATATGTGTCCTTATCAAAAGCGTAAACCCTCTCAGTCCTCTCATTGTAGAACAGCCGATACGTTTTTTTTTTAATTGGACAGTTGCTTTATTGCCTGGTTTAAATTTCCCTAAGTACAAATAGCCAAAGTACAACAAATGTTCTATTTGATAACCTTCTCTGTCCTTTGTTTGGGGATGCCTGTGAAGGTTGGTGTGTAACATATGCCATGTCTTTTTTAACCCTTAACACCATTAACCAATTTTGTACCTATTGCAGACTATTTTGAAGTAAATCCTAAGCATTCTGTTGAAGCCTAACCTTTAAATTGCTTCTTAACAAGACTGAGGTACACAAGCTCCAAATGAACCTACCAAGACCAAAGTCAGACTAGAATAGAACCTGTATAAATTCTCCACCATTGTTTGGGGAGATGCAGTCAGGCACTGATTTGGGAGGTCTATACGTTTGTGTAAGTTTGTACACCAAATCAGTGGGACTAAAACGGTCCAACCCTGAATTGAATTGTTTGATGCTGGCCGATCCATTTTACTCATATTAAGATTCATACCCTTGTCTGCTGATTGCCAAAAAATGAAATCCCTCCCAGAACTACATTGAGACTCATCTCCTCTGCACTAATTGCCACGCAATTCATTATTTTAAACTAGCGGCGTGCTAATCACCCCTCCATGCACAATGCATGAGCGATCTGATGAACTGCCTGCATATAGAAAAGAGCAGATCCACAGGGGAGGGGGGCCGTGAAGACCTCTATCTCTACCCGAGAGCCACTGATTGTCAGTGTTTTTCCTTGAGTTCTGTTGCAAAAATGATCCCTCAACGTTAAACATTTTAAAAATGCACATGACAAGAGTGGACCAGGCATTCCATACTTCTCTGAGAAAATTCCATTTTGGTACGAGGCAATGTAGTGTTTCCGCTTGTCCACTGGCATTACATCGATGTAGCCACCCACATCATTCCTGACTACGCCAGCGTGGACGGCTGCTCGGCATATACTGGATTTCTACAGAGGCATGCGAGAGAAAAGTTGAAATCTTTGTACATTGGTTGGTTTCCGTATGAGGAGTTCAGCTCCCAACAGCCTGACTTACGTCGGAGTATATTCTGGTGCCGATTACTCTGGATATGTGAGGATTCTCTTCTAAACAGTTTCTCGGGCAGTATAACCTATAAATGGAACAGTTTGAATATGGTAAATGCTTTAAACTTACACAATGCCGGAGAACTGATATTGTGCATGCAGGAAGACATGAAGTCAGGTTCATACCTTGGACAATGTTTTGTAGGCTTTTGGTATGAACACATCTGTGCAACTGTAGTTTCACATGTGATGGCTTTGACTGCGAGAAAGAATTACACACAGTTTCAACACACTCAGTTGCAGCACAGCTAATAATGAGTCATTTCATGCAAAATGTTACATTTCTCTAGATACAGTTTTTGTCAGACCAACCTGTTACTCTGGAAACTGTGAATGAATTAGCACTCAGATATTTTCTGTCAAGAGGAAACACAAACATCAACATGAAACTACATTGTTTTCACTTATTGTGGGAATATTTTACCGATCTTACTGTCAAATATCATCAGTATAAATCATGGTGAGGTTTCTAATATTATCGCCTCACCCAAGAGATTGAACTCCGTTCTTGTTGGATTTAATGAAAAAGTCCTTTCTGCCTTGTCGCGTTACATCCATCCATCCTCCGTCATTATCTATGACGCCGGCGTGTAGACCAGCTCTGCACACACTGGATTGCTGCAAATAGAATATTTGATTTACAACACCAGTGGCACCTTGATTTCTCTAATACACTTTGATGGGACACACGGCTGTTAATTGGCTTAATATCAACCGCATCATTTGTAATGCTCGGCCTGAGCATCTAGCGTACTCACCATTTCATAGTATACTGTCCCAACTACTTTTCCTTTTGCATCCAGGCACCCAGCCGGACACTCGTATCTGTGTGAGAAATATGGAAAAAATAAGGTGAAGTCCTCCATTCACTCCATTTCGTGGTGTTGTTGTTTTTCAGCATATTTAATATGAATTTTTACCTATTACACGGCGTTCCTTTACACTGATCTCTGAGCTTAGTGTCACAGGTCACGATCTGAGCTGAAAGACAAACACGAATGCCGCTCAGCGCTCGTACGGGAACCAGCATGCGCGAAGTGGCGTCTCTGATGCAGGCGACTAGTTTCTTAAAGAGAGCCATAACTCTTGGCACAAGGTTCGGGGTGGTAAGCAATTCCGGAGGGAGTGTCTCAGTTTACAAAGCACAGTCCTGTTTCACTGAAGACGTTTAAAAACCGCGATCGTGATTATGTGATTCTTATCTATATATTTTTTAATTACTACGGTTATGACTGAATCTTTTAAAACGCTTTTCTTTTAAATACTGTCATACATTTCCTGCCGCCTCCCAATTCTAAATTGGGTCGAAACCCCCCATTTTAAGAAGAAACGGGATCCAGAATAAACAGTTAAATGGCAGCTTACACATCTGCTGTGTGTTGACCACTTCGTTCTTCTGCAGGTCTTCTGTGGGGGGCTTGGTGGGGGCTGCAGCGGGGAGACTGGGAGGCTCTGGCTTGGAGGCCCTGGGCCGGGGCTTCTGTGGAGTATGGGAGGCCTCCAGCTCGATGAAATTGTTTTCTTCTGTTTCCTCGTTTGGAGGGTTAGAGCCGTCATCTTCAAGTAAAGTCACAAAAACAGGGTACTTTCGGCCCGTATTCCCGCAGGGTTTCTAACGCTGTCTTTATTTATTTTGCAGACACATACCTTTGTAGCAGAGGTTGTCCTTGCAGCCTCCTCCGTAGCTGGGGGGACAGGCGGAGCACGGGGTCCCATGTTTGTAAGGCGAATGCCCCCACCAGTTGCCCCTGTTCGGGTAGGATAACAGAAAAAACGTATTAAACAAAACACAGTCTATACATACAAAAGGAATAATCCATATTTCTATTCCAAGCCCACGTTCAAAATCCCGTTTTAACTTCAAATCTGTTTACTTTGGTGAGTAGTTGCAGACGAGATAGACTGCCTTGGCCCAAATTTGTCCCCACACGTTCATGTTGTAACACGTGTTGATGGCACAGCCAATCCGACTGCTGGTGGCCCAAACCAGCTGCCAAAGAATCACAAGACAGACCATGAATAACAGGTTATACAGTCACAAATCACTGAGGGATAAAGTTTAAAGAGGGAAACATTATAAAATAAATGATATGATCCAGACCTAGCTACCTGTGTATAATGAGTACAAACTGGGCCGGAGCATCTGAAGGGGCAATAGGGGTCACACTCCTGAGGGTAAGGGAAGGAGTAGTCTTTCACCTCATCATACCAGGCCTGCACATGGAACGTGGGTGGGCGATGCCTGGGGAGATGACAACGTTCCAAAATACATTTCTATCGTCTTGGGTATTTATTTGGTGCGGAGGTTGGTATTATGCTTTAAAGCTTTTCAAGAACACATATGCATGATACCCATAGATTTTGTTATTGCAAAAAAAACGATGATTAGAGGTGGAACAAGAGACTCTTGTGCTGTTTTCTGACACACTACAGGGGGTGAGTGTGCAAGTGTAGCAAATTATATGTCCTGTGTGAATGTCTTGTGAAGAAAAGCTAACTAAGTTGTGCAAACTAAAACCCAACAGAATAACTGAACGAATACAACTCATTCTTATTATTTAAAAGTACAGTCCTAACAAAATATGGCCTTTTTTTAATGTAGCCTGTGTTCATCCAAGTTAGTCATATTAAGGATGTAAAACTTTCCAAATATTGAGCTGGTGCAGGTACACATTTTCATTTCATGTGTGTAAAATCAAATTACACAAGTCTGTTCTTATCAATGTGCCCGTCTAGCCGCCTGTCAGCCACAAACGCACACATGCTGACTTCAGCAAAGCAGCCCTTTTTAATCTTAACCTTGGATAAAATAAAAGTCTAGGTATGCAGAAAGGGTTGTTTACCTTCCCCAGTGTGCTCCCAGGTTCTGTCCAATCTGTGGCAGTAAACTGGCAGGACCGTGCTCCCACAGGCAGGTTTCCGCCCACTCCTCTGCCGTACGCTCCAACTCCGTGTCCCACACCTGCACAGGAGATGAGGTGGAAGAAAGAAAATGTCAGGATTATGTTATCGCACTGAGTCAAAATATCCCGACGCATCACAAAGCTGCCTTTACTGCAACTAATGGGCCATGAGATACAGCGGCGCCGGGTCAAAGTGCGGGTAGTGTGAAACTGGAGAAATTCACTGGCTTTTAGGGTTGATACAGCTGTCAATGATGAGGGGCGATATGCAAACATATACTGAACATGGATTAATTATCATATTTCATGATAACTAATGGGGACAAGGAGCGGCTAAGTAACTGCATTAATCTCCAGACTAAATGCAGAAGTGTGTTGATGTGTTCCTGCTGTCGTAAAAATGAGGGTCAAAAAAGATTTGACCCTCATTGCTGCTCAGCTGACTTTTCCCAAACGGCTTTTCCCGAAGGATCTGGTATTAGCTGTTTTTTTCTGGAGTAATACCTTCCATATGTCTCTGGTGAAATGTCTGGGTGCAAGCATTTGCTTCACTTTACCTCCCTCTGAATTGCCCTCTTAGTTAAGTTTGGCTCTGGTTGGATACTAAAGGATCGTATTCCCACTCTGGGGTTTTCAGGGAATGCAAAGACTGTCCTTCCTCTCCGCTGACCTACATCCTTCCGTAAAAATTTTTTTATAAAAACTCCAGCTGTAATTCCTCTTAAGGACACTGTAAGTGTTTTTTTAATTGCACACCTTCACTTTCACCTTCAGTGTGGGTTGTCCAACGCAACTTGTTCCTACAAGAGAGTCAATTAGTTTTAGTGAGTGTGTGTGTGTCTGTGTGTGCATACGAATGGGTTTGTGTGCGTTGTGGAACACCAGCAGAGGTGTTCAGGGTTTTTTTCACACATTGGGCCCTGGAAGTAATAGCTTACCCTCACTGAAATGTCATCAGATAACAGACACTAAAATCACTGCTCCCACTTACACCAATACTTCCTCGTGGGTCCGTCACCCACTTACAGTCCCACCAGAAACAACTGCTGTTCTCTGCATTACTCCCGAAACGCACACATGTGCCAAACAACAGGATGTCTGGCAACGCTGCAAATTAACTCTTGACAGCTCTTTCTGGGAAATCCAGCTCGCTATTGAGAGGACCCATTTATTTAAATTAATAACGCCAGGGTCCATATTGGCACCGTGTTCTAGGACAGATTTCAACACAAAGCCTTGTAGAAACGTTACATAATTGACGTGTTGGATAAATAAAACTGTTGAAAGTGTATTGTATGTAGAGTATTTTTTTTCCTTTATTGTTACATGTGCGAGCAGGGAGCATAATGGGGTTCCAGACACTTTGTCTTCAGTTGCCCGTGGTCGGTCTTTCACAATGAGGCCAAATGATGACTGACAGAGCCGGGGGCAAAAGAGGAATGAGAATGTGTCTATTTCTCCTCAGAAATTACGTCTCGGGACAGTGAGCTGAAAATTAATCTCAGTATTGTCAGATCTGTTTGGTTTTGTCTCTAATTATTTTTGCCAACCCTGTGAGCTAACGGCGCTAAAAGAAACATCGGATTTGAACCATCGTCGGAAGTGAGAATATGCAATTCGGTCATATCCTTTGTTTCTGTTCACGTCAATTTTGTGTGGCTGATTTTGGTTTATGTGATTTGCGATGCTCTTGAAGCCTGTCTTAAATAATGATGAATACAAGCAGGCCGCGTGCAGCTGAGGAAGTCCTTCATTCATTTAAAATTGAATGGGGGGAAAAAAAACAATTTCAAGGATTTGCCGGAAAGCAGGCTCGAAAAAACGTTTGGACCCAGACACACATTTGGTGTTGAACCTGGAGTAGAGTGCAGTCGAAGCTGCTCGCACAGTAATCCCAGCAGGGGAGGCCATGTAACCAAGACACCCCCCCCACACACACACACACACACACACACACACACACCACACACACCACACAGCCTCACCGCACTTCTGCTGGGGCCCGTAAAGAAAAACACCTCCCCTGCTGAAGTCTCTCAACACAGTGCACACAGCATTGTGTACTTCGCTTGACACTTCATTTGAAGGTTTTTTTTGGGAGGGTTTCTCTTCCTTGGTCATCTGGTTGCATTCCAAAGGGTACAAAGGTGTACTAGAGGTAATAGAGGAGTTTCCTGTTCAGAGTCAATGGTGCATGCAAAGAAAGACTAAGAAAGCAGGGGAAAGATATGGGAATTGAATAAGGTGATGCTGCCTAAAAAATTTATAAATTCCACAAAAAACCCAACGGACGGAAGGGGAGATGTTATGAGACGGTAGGAGCGAGAGAAAGCAGAAAGGCAAAGGGGAGGATAGCAAAAATGATCTATATTGTCTTTCCAAAAGACCGCTTTAATTTCCCACAGCAATAAGTAATGCAGCACATTCCAGCCCACATCAACTCACATCAGAGGTCCTGGGGCGGACCATTGTCTGGATCTTGTCAACCAGTGAACACCATTAGCTCCTGTTATCGGGCTATGACAGGAGAAAAGTTTGACTAGAACAGCGTAGATAATTATTGTCGACTCGACTCAGGAAGCTGTCTGGGCATCACATCTGAGCCAGTAACGGTGAGGCGAGCCGGATATCTCTATTCGGTCTGCTAGTGGGATTCATTTTTTTGCAGAAAATGAAAGCATCCTTTAGAACACAGCTAAAGTTTTCCATCACTTTTCTTTGAACCAGGAATGGTGGTTGGTGCTCACCGCGGCGGTATACTGCGAAAGTGGCTGAGTCACTCACCTAAAACATACTGCAGTCTGGATGGGGACGCTGGTTGAGAGGGTTGTCCTCTTGGCCGTGAAAGCTTGCCAGATATTTGTGGGATGGTTGGTATTTGCTAAATCGATCTACATGTGTTTTGCATCTCTGCAAAGTTTCACAATGAAGCTCCTTGAAGTTTTTGTAGAAGGAGTTTGTTATAAAAGCCTTGGGAGCAAGAAAATCTGTTTGCATTCTTGGCCTCACATCAGATGGGATACAGCCGCTGCAGGTGAGGCCAAGAGGGTTGCCGGCTTTCGGGTGGCGTCTCGGCTCTTTTGTGATAGTATTGTCCTCTTTGCTTCACCGGAGCGCGACCTTAGATGTGGACTCAAGCATTCTACAGAACTACAGTACAGTTTTTGGGAGGACCCGCATTTCTTTTCTTCACATCCAGAGCAACCGGTGAATGTGTTTTTCCTAGGTGTAACCAGCTAACCGAACCCGGGGACAAACCCAAGACACACTTCAATGTCCCAGCTGGCCTGCGTGAGCTCTGAGGTTCAGAACCTTGCAGAGGTTTACAGCTCTGCTTCGTTTTTTGGCACTGGAGTCTGGCGATAACTTTTTCATTTGGCAATCGTATTCATCTATTTCTCTAAACAGTGAAGCAGTCTATTTAACATGCTGGTAAACCTTGCCATAATTAACCATCTTGGGTTAATGCCAGGCTAATTTACTCAGTCCAGACCCTGATTATTGTCTGATTGAGACAAATTATACACCAATAAATTAAAATGTCCTTCAGCAAAACTCTGACTCATCCCAAATAGAAAACTGTCAATACAGCTTTATCTTCAAGCAGAAACGTCACTGCCACCTCAGAGCTGAGCGCAGCCCAAGGCCAAGTTAAACATCAATCCAGGTCGGGCGTTTTCTCCCATGATGCCATCTGTTTGTCTTGCGACACTTCAAAAACTGACACTTCTGTGTTTATACCTGTGGGTCAACGTTTGAGTGCGCGGCAGAGCCGCTCTTCCCCGTTCTGAAGAGGGTTGCACTGAAGCTCCGCGGATCACTATGGAGTGTGAATGCTTATCATGGGGAATTTTTTGGGCCTCTGTGTTGAATAATGACAGAATGGGAACGAAGCCACCCAGGGATAAGGGAGAGGGAGGCAGAGAGAGGGGGGTGAGAGAAAGGAAACAGATGAAGGCGGGGGAGGAAAGATGGGGATTTGAATTGATGTTATCTCAGAGGTTCTGTGATGATTGCCACAGAGGGTCAGCCTGGGTTATGGTTTAATACAATGGCAGACAATAACATAGCTGATGGCAAAATGGCTATGTATGTGCGCTTGGAACTGTGTGTGTGTTGTGTGTGCATCTGCATGCATGGGTGTGCAGGGGGGAGCAGGGAAGCATGTCTATGAAGTCTTCCAGTACAGTGAAGCTGTGAGGTTTTCCGAAAGGTGACAGCAGTTCAAGCCAGGCTGCAGGAAAATCTGAGCAATATGGTGCCGCTTTTAAAATAAAGTGCAGAAAATCACAGAAAATCCCTGAGACCTGTAGAGTTTCTCAGCTGACAGATATTGACGGCCACAAAACCGCAGACAAGTAAGTCACTCCCTCTTTTTACTGCATCTTTTGTTTGCTTCGTCCTAGTCGCATTCTTTGTCTCGGCATGCCTCTTGACCCTTGGAGTTTAATTAAAAACACAGCTAACTGTAACAGGAGACAGTGGAGAAGAGCTATGTGCTGCTGGCTCAGCATTCCTCCAATAGATTGTGCCTCGACCAGAAGCCTGCCGGGCAGAGCGGAGCTTCCACGTGTACACACACACACACACACACACACACACACACACACACGGTTCCTCATGACCAACCTCTCAATTATACAATTTCACAGTCCAGCTATTGGCCCCAGAAGGAACTGTTTATTTCCCTTAACCAATGAATAATACTGCCTTTTGTTCTCCACCTCTTTAACGTGGAGATGAAAGGATTACACGACCACATTACTTTCTGCACACCGTATTGATTTTTAACCTCCTAAGTACTGTTGGTGGCAATGCACTGTGGCGGTCAAACAGCTCCGACACATGTAGTGCATTTGGAAAAATTCCAGATCTAAGGAGCGCTGACTTACAGAAGGTGTGGTGGGCCTGTGTGTGTGTGTGTGTGTGTGTGTGCATGGGTGTGTTGAGTGGGGGGTGGGGGGGGAGGCAGCTGGTAAAACAAGCCCCAGTGCCGTGCTCTGATTCTAATTGCACTGTGAAAAGTGATCTGGCACTGTACACACACGTGATGGCCAAAGGATAAAGTCAAACAAATCTCTCAGCATGAGTAAAAGAAAAACACAGTAGTAATGTGATCATTGGCAAGTTGGTGGAATTCTTTTCTTCTTGCAAAACAACCAAAATCACATGGGTAAAAACGTGTGTGTGTGTGTGTGTGTGTGTGTGTGTGTGTGTGTGTGTGTGCGTGTGTGATTTAAAAGGTGCTCAGATGCTGGCATGCAGCTTGTGTGTGAGCCAAGAGGAACAAGTGCCAGCCGGTCTGGTGACTGGGTCAGTTCACTAAGCTACGTGATCTTTTTAGGGAGTTCAGAACGGGGTCAAAGCGTTTAAACCAAGTATCCAAGCACCACTTTGTGGGACTCGATCCACACGAAACAGAACTCTACATCCTTCATCCACCTACCATGTACTCCATGTTGGAAGAAGGAGGGTAAACCTGGCCTCTGAGCTTGTTGTGAAGGTCCAGGATGAGCTGAGCGTCACCGTCGGTGATGGCCCTCTTCCCCCTGTGCTTGGCCTCCCGCGAGTCCCCCTCCTCGTGCATATACTTCTCCAGAATCTCCCGGAAGCCCGTGGAGTTGCCAAGCATCCCCATGGAAGCAGTCGCCTGGAGCAGCAGGAGCAGCGACACGCCCCGGAGCCAGCGTGGAGATACGAGCCTCATCCTGGTGATGGTGATGGTGGGAACCGAGGAAAGACACTATTTGTCTAGAGCCGGGGAAGAAGAACAAAACAGGATTATGGGAAGGATTAGAACTGGCGTTCTGTATCAAATTTGCTGAACAACTTTCAGTACAATCAATATTGAGCTTGGTGAGGACTCGTGCATCGGTTTGCAGATACTTTGTTTGGTGCAGTGCCACTGGTGGAGTTCACTGGGGTAAAGCTGGCAGACTGGGAATGACTAATTAGTGAATTAAGGAAATCACGGCAAGTGGTCAAATTCCCTTTTGAGTTTTTCTTTATTGTCCTTGATAAAAAAAAAGAAAGACAATGAAAAATAAATATTTCATCAAATCGCATTTAGCCGCACAGCTGTAGTTTATGCACATAATGCACAATTTAGCTCAGGAATTTTTAATACGATGCATTTATATATTTCAAATTTTGTCTGCATGCTGCAAGGCTGACAGGAGCTGACACATCGTGCCAATAGCTAATGGAAAACGTGAAGCGCAGACTCGAAATGGAAATGGAGTGGTGGGGTTCAACGCAGACTTGGGATATCATCATTTACCTTTTAATGACTTGGAAAGCAGCCCGCTTCTTGATATCCTGACAAAGATCTGACTGTGAGAAGACTTCTGCGGCGAGAGGAAGGAAGAAGAAAAAAAGTCCGCCTTCAAAGTAAGTCGAGCAGAGCTCAGGTGGAGCGGCGATGACGGTCTTATGACATAAATCAGAGATGCGCGATGTGCTCGCTTCCCTCCGCTTGAAGAGACAGAGACAGAGAGACACGCAGATAGAGACACACAGAGAGTCTTTCTTCTGTCGGGATTCCTCCACCCAAAGGCTGCTGAAGCATCACTTGTCCACATTTTATCCTTAACTTTCCTGCGCTTCTGGAGCGCCGCCCCTGGCCACGCCCGTCCAGAAGGCTGGATCCGGCCCACACGGAGACCTCCGTGCGCGTCCGTGCGCGTGCGTAAAGCAAAGGGTCTTATTCTACAACGTTAGACAAAGTTTGACTCTCAAGTGACCACAAACCACTATTATTTGGCATGAACACGTACCTCTCCCACCCCCCTCCTAGTCTTTAAAACAGGAGATGCAACATTACTGCAAAGAAACATAAAAATTCATTAATTTGAACCAGATCTTCCTCCTGTGTGGCCTCCGAGCAAAAGTGGCCCCACTACCCCGAATCTGACTACTCACAGATGACTTCTTAGGGGATTAACACACAAACCGGGTCTCTGTTAATTGCAGTCCCCAAACTCATCGTCACTGTTTCCCTTCCCTCTGCAGCACCGTATAAATCCCATAACACAAAAAGGCAGGTTTTGTCTTTTGTCATCTGGTCATTTTCACTGGTGGCTGTTGCACGTGTGGAAACAGCCGCTAATCACTGGGCCTCTGTGTGTTTTCCGCCTGTACAGACTTACTTTCCACTGGGGGAGACACAATCTTCTTGTATTTTACCTAACAAATAAAATAAACCAAATGTTAGGCAAGGTAACCATGTGGCTGGCAGTACATCTGCTCTGTATTTTATAGTAAAACTCCTCGTTTCCATGACGCCCTTGTGTTTTCATGACCAATATCCATTAGTCAGGGACTGAATTGTCAGCTCTGTCACACAGTTATGAATATATTTGAGCTTTGTAATTCATAATCTGTGCCACAGCTCCCATTCAGCATGGTCTCTGAAAGCTGGTAAACATGGTTTGGTAGATTGTGCGGTGAAAAGATGAGGCATGCCATTGCGTTTAACAACATACAATACAGTCAACAACTTGTAACATCATGTCATCTAAATATGAGTAAAGTATCACAATGTGTATATTTTACTACTATATTATTCTTTATATTGATCATGTATTTAGTTGTTGATACTGATTTAGAAATGCATCGCAGTAATGCTCCAGCTGTAACTCTTTAGTTATACCACTCGTTCCCGGCCTATGGGTTCCAGTGGAGGACCCAAGTAGGTCGTGAGATCATAAATGGGTTAAACAAGAAAAAAAAAATTGGATTCTATGATAGAATACCATATTCGCATTTTTGACATTCCTCTGATCTTCGATTCTTTAAATAAATATTGAATGAAAATGAGTTAATGTCTTCCAGGAGGGCCTTTGCTGTCTAACCTACTTCTGGATACGTGCAGAATGTGATACAAGAGCTCTCTCATTGAGGACCAACCGCACTCTCAACGTCCATGAAACCAGGGTTTACTCTCTGCCCCCCGGATCAGCAGCAGGGGCCTCGGCCACAGGCCCAGCAAGTGGCGCTCTCTCTGCGGTCAGACCTGCCAGACGCCCCACCCACCCCCCCGTTGCCCTGTCACCCGCCGACCCCCATCCCCTCAACCCCCCCCCCCCCCCCCCTTTTTGTTTTTTGCCAAAAAGAAAAAAAAGCTGGGTTTAGACCCCCGGGGGAGAGACCCCCGGAAACACCTTAGCGTCCGAGGAGGAGGTAAAGGGGGTCTACATTAAGATGTGTGTGTGTGTGAGACAGGGCCGAGGGTTGTGTGTGTCTGTGTCTGACAGTAAGCGTGAGAGAAGAGTTGAGTGACAGGGTGTGTGTGTGTGTGTGTGTGTGTGTGTGTGTGTGTGTGTGTGTGTTGGTATGCCATGATGATCTAAATATATGAGTCAATACATAAAACATGCATTTATTTTAAAGACCTCAAAATAAGTTTTATGGGTGCGGGATATGACATGACTTATAATGGGTTAGGGTTAAGGCGGAAATACACAAAGACGGAGTGTAGGAGCATGCCCTGACCCTGACTATAAAATGAAATTGTGTGGATAAGGAAATATTTACCAACTGCTTAGGGATTTCAATGATTTACAGTGTGGTAATATAGGTCAAGTCATCAGAAACAGACGAGACATTCTCTGATTAATGTTCATTACAATGCCTGCCAGCAAATATGCACTATTTGTGCCTGCGGTGGAGCAATAGAAATGATTTCATGCCTGGGCCTCTTGTGTTAGCAGCCTTTTTGGACAGTTCTCTCTCTGATTCTTTCTATTTTCACATTTTTATTTTCTCATAAAGCTGACCTCCTGTCTGCCTGTATGTTTATGTCTCCACACACTTTCCCCCCTGCTAGTGTCTCACGCACAAGATTTCCAAATCCTTTAGTGGTTTGTGCCCCCCCCCCCCCCCCCCCCCCTCCTTTCTTTTTCTATCTCTCACACGCACACACACAATCATTGTTGAGCCACAGGTCCAGATGCTCCATTTGGTGCATTCTCTATTCAGTATTTGGTCTCGCGAGAAACCCCTTGAACTCAGCAGAAAGCATCGGCCGAGCCCAGACTCGGCATCCGCCTCCGGCCTCCACGGCGAACCACACACAGGCACTCTCGAAGAACGCTCCCCGTTGGCCCACGTTATCTGGCACGTTTCTCCCTTATGGTGGTTCTGGTTGGGCTGCTCTGAGGTCACGCATGTTGGAACGGGGCTGGAGTGCATCGTGGTCATTTGGCAGACGTGGTGCATCATTCGCTGCTTTTTGGGATGTTATCTACTTCAGGTTAGTTTGTCTGCCTCCACCCCCTTGTGGTGGAGGGATGCCAATGCATCCGCGAGGAGGGTTTACTGTTGGGTGGCTCTGTTTTTGGTTACTGTAGAGGGTAACACTGTAACATGGAAGGTTCCCTTTTTAAAATGAGCACATATTAATCTAGTGTTGGCTTGGGTACAAATATTTGCCACGTAACCACAAGTAACGGTAACTGTGCTTTGGGAGGAGCAACAAGAAAAGTATTTAACTACTAATTTTGTGGGTAAAACACCCTGATAAATGTTAAATAATATCACTGGATCATAATGCATTGATTTACTATATAAGCAGCATTTTTACGTTGTAGATGGGGAAGCGGGGTCATTATTATTATTTTTTATGATGCTCGATAAATCCATTTTTAACAATCAAACGTAACACAATGTACCTGCAAGTGTGTTTTTTAACGTGTGTACTTCTGTATTTCCCTCAATGTCGTCCGTGAAATATCTACAGTATGTCTATGAGTAATGTATCATTGCAACAGTGGATCTATGTTTGAAAGAAGTTCTATGAAGTTCTTTCTTTGACATAGATCTGCGGTGTCAGCTTGTAACGTGCAGCAGTCCTTTAAATACAGTCGTCCTTATCCTCCTTAACAGAAGTGACTTTTAATAGATTCAGACGACCGTAGCACACGGTTCACGTAACCACTAGATGTCAGGTTCAGCATGCTGTAACCTTCGGGCCGAATGCAACTCTGCAGGGAATCCATTTAGAAAACAGAAAAAGATGCAACAACGTGAATCTAGCTCATGACCACCGGCTACAATGATTCAGCTTCTCTCTTCTCATAGCACTTATACGTCTCCCAGTCTGTCACGGATCTCTAAAGGCACTTGGTGATTGTGGGCAAAACAGCATTCCCCTGTTCCATGTCAAATTTGACAGTTATTCCAGGTAAAATAAGTCTAACAGGATCTCATGTTACCTTCATTTCAGTGTTCATGCTTCTCTGCGCTGAATGTTGAATGGATATTTGCTTGTGATTCTAACCAAGAGCTTTACCAACAATGACAAACGCTGACTGTCTTCTTGAGAGAATGCCATAATCATTCACTCTCTTGGATTAGATATGTTGACTGCGTCATGAATGTGAAACTTCTCTGTGATAGAGTTGTTGTTATTATCAAAGTGAGTCTAAGAGACCCTCATTTTGTGAATGTCTCCTCTGTGCACAGAACATCCCATTAGAAGGAATCATATTACAATCACACCATGAGCACAAAGCGGTCAATGTCCTATGAACCTGTAGGAGCATCAAAGCCTCTGTCAGCTCTCTGGCTGCAGGTACAAGAAAGAGATTGTGATTATGCACCGCTGTGCTTCTGAGGACACTGACTTTGCAGCATGTCGCTCATCTGGAGTCCCTGCTGGGCCCCCGCGAGCAGGCGAACGTGGCTCCAATCGAAGACGAAGGCGACAGTAGGAGCAAAAGCCACTTTTACCTCTGTTTATATGCTTGGACTTCAACAAAAGGGTCAAGTCTAGTCCGCCTCAGGGTTGGACATATTTGACTTAGACTTATTCTTACAGCCACTGTGGTGGACATTCGCAGTGCCAGGTTTCTGAAACGTTGGGTAGAGAGCATGTCATTACATTTAATGTCAAATATGAGGTGAATACAGACTATACAATTTTAGCACCAGGTCATAAAATGGAATTGCTACATTGAAGTATGCCAGATATGCTTTATATGTATTTTACTAAAGCACTCTATTGGCTGACTGTGCCAAGGAAAAGTCACCAGACGAGAAAAGTGACCACAACATAAACTGAAAAGTCTTATTTCATTGTGGCTCGTGGACGAAGCATCAGCACGTTGTTAACATAAGGAGTACATGTAAATTCAACCATGAAAAACCTGGGAGAACATGTTATGGCGGCACTCTCCTAAATAAATGCTATTACGGACCAAGATAGTCACACGAGACACCGCAAATGATTTGTGTACCTCAAAAGCGTTATTTTTTTTATTCCTTGTTTGAAGTAAGGGCATCCAACTCAGAAAGAGAGCAAAAAACAAGCCCTGCAGTTAACTGCCCCGCTGCCCCGAGAGATTTACAGTTGCAAAAAAAAAGTTTTAACGTGAACACATTCACTTTTTACGAGATCCCAAAACATCCTTCAAGTAGCTGACATCAGTCTCTGGGAAACACATATGTCAACGTGTACTGACCTGAGCACATGACTGAGCGAGGAGTACAAGTAGTACAAGTCTGCCTCATCATTTACAAAGTTACAATTCACTCATCTGTCAATGCTTATTTTGTGAAATGTGTTCTTGGTGG